TGTTACCTCTGTCTTGGCATAGCAATGCTGCTCTCAGAACTCAGTTTTAAATCTGGCCCGAGTGCTAGGCCACTACTCCAAACTGTGCTGTCTTCCTGCCTTTAGGCACCTGATACTCAGCCCTACCAGTAAAACTGGGTCCAGGAGGAGCCTCTCATCTGTGTGACATCTGGAATGCCCTGAACAGCAGAGCTTTGTCATCCACAGCACAGCAGAAAACACTTCCAGGTTCTTAAGATGCTGAGGGTGCAGGATCCAGCCACACTTACCTGCAGGCACCTCCATCTCCATGACACTGGAAAGATCCTTGGAGCTGAAGTGTCTGGGGTAGGAACCTCAGCCAAAGATGGAGAGAACCACATTGCCTATCTCAGTAAGTTCTTGCTTCTCTCTAAAAGAAATGAAAAAAACCCAGAAGATTAGGCCAAAATTTCAAGGATAGACTTGCTGAGTCTAAGCATCCTTTGCCTACCTTTTGTGACACCTAGAGAAACTGCAGTTATTCCAATTTAATAGCATTTTCTTATTCTTACATGGCTACAAGCAGTAACACAAGGTAGAAGAAAACAGGTTCCATGACTGGCAGGAGAACATATTGATAAAAATATTCAGCCATTGGAATTCACCTGTCTGTGGCACCAATAACTCCAGCCAGCTCCACATTGTTCAGGTTTAAACCACGAGGAATCAGCCACCTCATTTCTGCTCTGAGCCACGGCCACAATGCCAAACCCTTCCCATAGAGGGGTCAGTTTGTGCTGGAAAGGGACAACAGGACACCTGACCTTACCACAAGATCTCTAAACCAGAGGCTGGAAAACCATATCCCAGACTGTTAGTAACGTTGGAGTAAGTGTGAAACCATTCCTGTAATCTCTTCTTTCCCTGCAGGTGCCATGGATGTTACTTCCTTCCAGAAGAGACTTTACACTTATCTTTCAGATCAGAGACTGTAGATCTGACTGAAGGATAACACTGTCCGTCCCTGACACTTGGCAACGCCTGCTGGAGCAGTTACTGGGGGTGAGGATGGGGTGGCACTACTTTGGTGGGGTTTCCATGAGCTGTGCCTCATGCAGCAGAAGGCAGCTCTGCTGAGCCATTCAGTTGTGTTTTCAGAGGTGAATGGGCTGGCAGCAGAACCTCTGCCTCCCCACCTAGCCCTGACCACATTGTTCTCTCAAATGTGCCAGCACAATTTTTTCCTGCAGCAGCACTGTGAAGCACACCACTTCAGGGGAAAAAAAAAAACCAACAAAAAAGCCCAAACAATGACGCACTTGTTAGAACCAGCTCGGCTCCCTGATCAGATTTACAGCACACCAACAACTGCTGTGGCAGAAATTTGGGAGGCACTGTGCTGTGAGGCCAGGGCAGGAAAATGCAGAGAGATTGGAACATTTTAAGCTGATGCTGACAGCACAGACAACGTCTCATGAAATCAGAGCTTAACAGGTGGGAGGGTGACATAATAAGGGAGGGCATTAGGCTTTTATAGAAAGAAATAGGGAATCAATATTTAATTACTGGAGAACTGCAATGAAGTTGCATTATTGAAACCATCTCACCAAGCTGATACAATATTTTTTATCAAAGAAAACCTAATAATGAATCTACATTAACTTCCAGACTCAGTGTTCACCAATACTTCCCTACTAATAAAAATAGACATTTATATGCTTGTGGTGAAGAGCTAGAAAGATCAGAAAAACTGACAAGGAATTAAGATGTCCTTTGACTCCATTTCAGTTACTAAATTGTCCTGACTGTTCAAACAATTTGTGTGAGTCTCTCTCTCTCTCATTAGGTTCCTACCTAATGCAGAGCAATTGTTCCTTGCCAGGGTCAGGAAAAGGTTTCAAGAGCTGTGGATGGAAAGCAGAAGGAAAATCCCTTCTGCTACAATCAGTACAACATTGTGTCTTTGTCATTTACTATTGTGGAGAACAATGAGATCTAATGATCCTTTTTGTATGAATGCTTCATGATAACACCAAATCACACTGTATGCCACGGCATAGCAGCATTAGCCTGAGGGGGATGAATGAAAATGTTGTGGTTTTTCCTAATAATAGAACAAACCACAAAGCCATACCTGGGACACAGACACCTCACAGACACATGGCTGCCTTCCCCCAGGGAAGTGAGCCATATTCTCTGGATGCTGTTTTGCTGTAGCACAAAGCTGTCAGGGGGCAGAGAATGGAAGCAGTGACATGAACTCTCAGCCAGACCTGTGACAGTTCAGACATCTGGCAGCTGTCCGAGGGCAGCTGGGGTTGGACAGTGGGGACAATGAAACAGAGCCAAAACGATCCAAGGATCTTCAACAAGGAAGCTGAGATGTCACTCATTTCTCTCCAGGGAGCAGGGCAGAGCCTTGGTAGGGGGGGTGGGGGAGAGCAAGGGCCAAGCTAGCAGAGGTTTGAGGCACAAACAAAGCCAGTTCCCACCAGCTGGGGAGAAAGGAATGTGAGGGATGGGGAAACTGGGAAGGGATTAGAGCTCAGGCATTTCAAATGAGCACCTCGTCTTAAACTCACCAATTATTTCAGTCATTGCAGCAAAGTGCAAGTAAAGTATTGTCCAAACAGCAACAAGGAGACTGCCCTGACAGAGGGCCTGGGTAGTGGACAGCAACACTCCTGGTTAAACAAGGCAGATGATGAGGTGGCTCAGGGAACAGCTCCAAGGACAGCTGTGAAGGGACAGCAGGTACCATCCTCCAGCCCACGTGGAACAAGCAGATGATGCCAACCCTCAGGATACAAACATCTCAGTAAGAGGCTGCCTTTAGGATCACAGAATATCCTGTGCTGGGAGGGACCTGTAGGCACCCAGCTTGTGGTAACTGGGAGTGGGGCTGCAGCTCAACCTCATCCCCAGTGGGTACAGCTGTGCAGGACAGGTGACCAGCACTGAAGGCAATGAGATATGGAGGGCTGAGGTTACTGACCAGTCACAGGGGGTACAGAGGGCACACAGGTGTAAGGCATACAAAATGAGGGGTATAAAAGGCTGGACTGAAGGGCAATAAATGGCAGGATGTAAGAAGCCTCTAATGGGGTGTGGTGTTGTATGGTAACATTCTGTGTATTGTGGCCATCTTGACTGTGGCATATGCTGTGACAGGGACCCACAAGGATTGTCAAGCCCAACTCCTGGCTCTGCACAGGACAACCCCAAAAGTCACCTGTGCAATTGAGAGCACGGTCCAAATGACTTTTGGCAGGCCCAGTGCTGTCAGCCCTTCCCTTCATGAGCTGCCTCAGAAGGACTGAACGCCCTTCCTGCATTTAGCTTAAGATCAGCTCCAGGAGAGGGAACATACTGAAGTCAAACCTGCCTCAAGCCTTGTTAGTTCAGGATTGAAAAGGAAGAGCCCACTCACAGAGCTGGCAAATCTGTCACCTTCTGCATCAGTAAAGCCGGAGCCACACCTGGAAATGAGCTGTGCTTCACAGGACAACAGCAGGATGAGAGATCAGTCCCCAGCATCTCTGAGTTTGCCAATCCAGCAATTTGCACAGCACAAGCTGTCCTGCAGAGCTCGGAGCAGCCGCCAGCCAGCAGCACCCTCCTGTGACACATTCCTGCAGCTCCCAGGCAGCTGCTCCGCCTGACAGCGGGAGCTGCGCTGGCTCCTGCAGTGTGCGTGCTCCTGGGCACCCCCAAATTCCCTCAAGGGGTGTCCCCTCCTCCTGGTGTGTACAAACTGTAAGATTGTGCTCTGTTAGGCTGGGCTTTGTGGTCCGTCACCTGAAATACAGAGGAGAACCACTTCCAAGTGTTTTCCAGAGGCAGCCTCTGATCCAGCACAGTATTAAGCCCTTCAGAAAAATCTCAGAACAACTGAGAAGAAGAAGGGAGTTGGATATATAACATGCCAACATAGGCAAAACCCTCTTATTTCCAGCATCTAAGATGCAAAGTATTTCTGCCTTATATCCAGCTCTTTCTCTTTCTTGAGCAGGGAGATGGAGCAATCCTGTGCCAGGCTACACTCAGCTTCTTGTTTCTACAGCAGGACTTCAGAAACCTAGACAAGAAGTGATCTGTGTAAGAGGCTCTTGCAGCTATCAGCGCTTTAGTTCCACTGCCTTTGTTTTCATTGCTTCATAGCTTATGGATCTGCTCCTGCTGGAGCTCTTTCTCTTGTTTTAGTCAATTCACAGACTGAGATATTCAATGATATGGCAGATGGGTTGAAACAGATTTTGTAAAAGGATTACTTACATTTTAGTCCAAGAAATAACATAGTTGGTGGTCTGGTGCAACTTCACAAGCTGGAAATACAGGGAGATCTGGAAACAACAAACTGTAATTCTAAACATGACTGACAGGATCCATCTGCCCTCCCAGTAGAAGGCATGGATATAATAAGGAGGAACTCTTGGGGTACTAGAAGATATAAGGAAACTCCACAAAGCAGTAAATTTGAATATCTGCGGTAGTTCTGTCCCCAAGACCTTGGACATTTGGCATCCTGCACTTCATAAAACCCAGGACTACAGGCTGGAGAGCATTGCACTAGTACTATAAAGCTTGTGATAAGCAGCTATAAAGATTAGGGTAAGGAGATCCAAATCTGAGGCTCAGTCTCCAGTGTGGCAAGTAGTAGGGAATACAGAATCTGCAAAGAACGTGTACTTTCAGAAGGGAGAAAGGATTGCCAGCACAGAGGCCTCACTGTTTCAGCGAGCAGCACCCTCCCACAGGCACAGATAGGGCTTTCCCACAGAGTGTGAGGCCAGGAAAAGAGGCCTAATCCCTGGCGGGGCACAAGGCGGTAACAGCGAGGGGACCCGGCCGGACTGCGCTGGCTGAGCATGCTGGGACACGGAGTCCCCTCCGGGGCAGCCGGCGCGGAGGGGAGGACACCGCGCACTACAACTCCCGCAGTTCTTTGCGCGCCGCGCCGTCTCCTAGGAGACGCGGGGATGCGCGCCGGGGGTCCCTCCGGGCCGGAACTACCGCTCCCGTGATGCCCCGCGCGGCGCCGCCGCCGCCATGGAGCGGCGCGTGGCGGAGCAGCTCCGCAGCGCGCTGGGCCCGCTCGGCCTGGAGGCGCACGCCTTAAAGGTAATGACGTCAGCGTGACGTCACAGATACGACGTCACTGCCCGCGAGCTGCGGGAGCTGAGGGAGCGCGGGGCGCGGAGCGGGACCCGGGGCCGCGCAGGGGCCGGGGGGCGCCGGGGGTCGGTGCCCCAGGGAGCTCGGGGCGCCCCTCGGCCGAGCGGGGCCGGGCTCGCCCCCGCGGAGCCGCTGCGGCCGGCGCGGATCGATGCGCAGCGCGGGGTCCGGCCGGCCCGCCCGGCAGCGCGGGGCAAGGTGACCGCAGCGGCAGCGGCTGCTCCGGCCCTCGGTGCGGGCCCCTGACCCGCGGGGTCGGGGTTACGCAATGACACATCTGCCCCGGCAGGCGGCAAAGTCCTCCGGGCAAGGTTATATTTTAACTGAGCGTGGGAGCACCTGTCTGTGGAAGTGCTGACCACCTCATGGCTCGTCTGACCTCTGTTCTGCCCCTGGCCCTTGCAACCTCTGCCACTGTGCCCTGTGCGGCTGTAAGTGCAGGGGCTCCTTCCTTACCTGTCCCGGGACAATCAGCGGTAAATCAATCTGCAACATCGAATACAAATCAATCTGCAATAAACGTGCCCTTCCCTCGGGGAGTGTTGTATCTGTCACCTGAAATATTTTTATTTCCTGCTGTGATCTTGTTTGCATAAAAACTATGAGGCAATGAGGTGGTGAGAGAAGTAATGAGATAAGTGCCTCCAGAATTTGGAAAACTCAGTGCTGCTTGCCTAAAACACATCAGCAAGATTCAGGGCAGAACCCAGATAAAGACTGTAGCTACGAGATGGGAAACCTTTTGGCCCTCTAGTCCTCTCCAGATTTCATTCTGCCACAGCCAACCCTCATGCACTGACTGATGTTTACTGGGAAACCAGCAAAGCTTAGATTCACAGCTCTCTAATTCTTTGTAACATTTCAATTCAGCACCTTCAAAGCCCCAAAACTGATTAAACTTAGGGGTTCATACCAGAATGTAAACTTTATAGTGAATCTAGTTTTTGTTCTGAGTTTCCTTATGGGCAGTCTGGCTGCCATTGCCAGCTGCAGAGTCACCACGAGAGTAATTTCACTGATTATTTAGAATAACCAGTACTTTTCATTTTCAAACTTGCTGTTCCATTGCTCAGCATCTCTCTGACTGTTAGACCTGGCCTTGTGGCACCCCAGGAGGGAGGGAATTGTCATAACGTATGAAAAGACTGATGTTACTGTGCAGGGCATTAGGAGTGGAGTGCAGGGGGTTTGGGCCACTTCCTCCTGCATTTGGCAGTTGCAGGTCTGAGCCCTGTCCTGGTCGTGCTTCCTGCTGCCCTGGCTTGATCTCTCATTTCTGGACTGTGTCCAACCCTGGAATCAAATATCCAAATGTGGCTGTGTCATAATCCATGTGCTGCTGGTAACAAACGTTTTTAGGGGGGGCTTAGCACTGCCAAGAGCTTCACATCCTTCATTCCACCCAAGTGTTTCCTGCAGAAGAAGTAAAACATTCAACTTGTCACACAAAACAGAACCACCAGTTTCTTTCTGGCCCAAGATAAGAGAAAAAAACCCAACCTGTAAGAGCTTTATCTGAACCAATCTGATTTGCATTGGCAAGACTGATTGCTCATACTTCCCTCTAGGTTTCTAAGCAGAGCTGGATAAAGGGCAGACTGGAGCTGAATGCTGTGTGTGATTCTTATCTCACAGCTCACAGCACAGCTTTCCCAAACTGTGAATCCTGGAGTGCAAAACAACTTGGTTTGAAAGGAAGGCCCTGGGCAGGTTGCCCAGCTGGGTTGCAAATGAAGGGGGCTGCAGTTATTTCCACATTTTTACATTCCTGCATGTCCACTAGAGCGGTGTCTGTGTTCTAATGGAAATTTGTGTTTCTTTGCCAAGGTTGGGTGGTACAATGCTGTTCTGCAGCCAGCCTTCCACCTCCCCTACCCAGATGACACGCTGGCCTTCGTGGTCCTCAGCACGCCGTCCATGTTCGACAAGGCCCTTAAGCCTTTTGTGAGCAAAGAACGGTTAAAAATAATCAGGGATCCTGTGGATCAGTGTGTTTCCCATCATTTATCACGTGTGAAGGAGGTAAGAAGCTGAAATCCCCATTCCATGTAGTGCTGTGGCACATAACCAGGTGGGTTGAGCAGCAGACAAAGCCCTGCAGGCTCCTGCCCTGCTCTTTGGGAGGGTGAAGCATTATTCATGAAGGAGGGAGCATCAGCAGGCTTTGGGTGCTTTACTTGCATATTTTGCCTCTGTATTACATCTCACAGCTGTGAGGGAGCTCTGCAGGCACAGGCTGAATGCCCACAGCCTCCAACCTGCTGACAGAATTCAGCAGTAGGATGTGGGAGTCTGCAGGCTTCACATGTGCCTGATTTGCTGCCATCCAGCAGTTCTGGAGTGGCAAGGCTTTTTCCATGAGCCTGGGCTGATGTTTTCGTATTTTCTCAGAAATTCCCTGACCAGAGGGTGGATATCATGTTTGATTACGAGCTGCTGCCGAGCCGAAAGCCCAAGTTCCTGGCACAGACAGCTGCCCACATTGCTGGAGCTGCATATTACTACCAAAGGAAGGATGTGAAGCTTGATCCTTGGGGAAAAAAGGTGAGGCAGAAACACAGTCTGGGAAGAACCATTGAACTGCAAACATTGAACTGTACAGTGATTGTTTGCTCACTAGTCACTAGTTCATCTTGCAGGAAGCTACAAAGTCCAGAGCACATATAGGTTCATAAAATGTTTCAGGTGGGAATTGGAAGCTTCCAAGATTCTTCAGGGTAGTAGGGAGATGTCATGGAGAGAAATATCTTGATCTGTTAAACCTACTTAGATAGAAGAATAAATGGCAGTGTAAAAGAAAACCTATTGCTTAGAGCATTACAAACTGGGGGGAAATGCTCTGTGGTTAATTTCTGTAATAGATTTGCAGAAAGGAACTTCTCCCCACATTCCAGGGAAGTGTGTGTGAGCACAGGAAAGTGGGACTGAAATGCAGTGCTTCGAGCCACACGTTCAGGAAAGTTTTCCCTTCTGCTCTGTACAGCTCTCCAAGAGAAGGTTGGGAGAGAGAGAAGCATCTGATGGATACTTTGAACTCTAGCCTTGATTACACACAAAGTAAGGCAGCCTGGATTTTTTTTTTTTTTTGTTCCAGAAGATCTTTGGCGTTTGTATCCATCCCAAGTACGGTGGCTGGTTTGCTATCCGGGCTCTGCTGGTCTTCCCAGCTATCCAGGTGCCGTTCCTGGAGCAGCCTCCGCCTGTGGACTGTGTGAGCTCCGAGGAGAAGAGGATTGAGCTGCTGGAGCAGTTCAATTTCCACTGGCAGGACTGGCACTACAGGGACATCATTGAAGTGAAGGAAAGGTACTCGGAGGAGCAGAAAACCTACTTTGCCACTCCTCCAGCCGAGAGATTCCGGCTGCTGGGGCTCTCACAGGAAGCGCAGAGAATCACATTTCACTGAGAAAGCGGCTCCGGGAGGGCAGAGGGCAGCAAAGGGCAACTCATGAGCGCGGCTTTTCCCGGTGCCGAGGGTGAGGAGGAGGAGGAAGGTTATGCTGGTACAGACATGGCAAATCCGAGCAGCCTCAATGCAAACATTGCAATCAAAGCTTCCCTGAGAGAGGAGCACGGCCCTGCCCTCTGCGCTGTGCTGCTGCTGATCTGAGGTGGAGCCCAGTAAGCTGCCATTAGCCTTTGGTTGGGAATAGTTTAGACATCCTGGCAAATTTAAATCCATGCTGCTTGGAGTATTTTAGACACCCTGGCAACTCCAAAATCCATGCTGCTTATTAGAAAAATCACTTTTGTTCTCAATAATTTTCTTTCTGAATGTTCTCTTTTTATTCTTTGTCGGTGTAAAAAGAAAATCAGTCATTGTACTACTTAGTTGGATTTTGTCTAAACTTGGGGCAGGTACTTTTTTAGATGTTGCCAGCATTTTATTATCCTGCATCATGACCCTCTGTAGGGAGTACATGTCCAGTCTTTACAGTCTTGCCTAGGTCACATTTAAGCATTTATCCATTCATAGAGCTGACTGGAATATTTGGAAAGATGCTGAGTAATGTCCATATGATTGGAGGTTTTATTCACATTAAGAGAACTGACTGAAACAGACAATTCTCGTGGCCTTTTCTAAGGTAGACCACATTTGTGTTAAAAGTATTTTTCAGTGCCAGCACACAGCACACCCCCCACAGTTACTGTCACAGTTTCCTGGTGTGCTTTCTTTGTGGGAAAGATTGTAAACCTGCACACATGTAAAAGCCATGGCACAAGGCCTTGTCACATGCACAGGCAAACAAGCACAGAAGAAAGGGAAATATTAATGACATTTATGTTACTTATATTGCTGGATTAAACATGTTCAGACAGAAGCAACATTTTTTCCATTACTTTGTCCTGTTACATTTGTTCAGAGGCTACAATGCACCTGGAAATCAGGAATTAATTTCTCTTTGAGCAATTTGAGGCTCAAATCTCGTTAAAGCAATATAATACATTAAAATAATATTTTGTGGGAGTTGTTTTACTAGACTGCAGTGCAGTGCTGCAAATGGACAGGCACTTTTTTCCTTTTTAGGGTACTAACATGATGAAGAAATACTTTGCAGAACTGGGCCCTTTCTTTTTATGTTGGGATTCTTCAAAGCTTTGGAGACTCCACCAGGACGGTTGCCCTCACCATTGTTCACTGCTTGATACAGTTGCTCACGGTCAGTACACTAACTCATTGTAATCCAAATTCAGGATAACAAGTTTGCTGCCCTGTAAACAGAGTCGTGAGCGTGTGATCACTGGGTTTGTTCACTGCATTTGCTGTTACAAAAAAGTCTTTGTTGCTTTCCATGCTTTGTTCATCTCTGACTAAGGCAGACACCTGACATAGAATGTGATAGAGGTATTGTGATGTTTAATTTAAGGTAAAGAATGAAATTTGTTTAAAATCTGTTCTTTTGTTACAGAATTTCTCCTTTTTCAAATTTGTTTGATGTTTCAGAACTTTGAAAATGAACTGTAATTTACCAGGGCCTTGAGGTAATGGCTCATACTCGTAACAAAGACAAAATACTGATTCACTTAGAAGGATAAATATAGATTTGAATCAAATCTATCTTTTTATATTACAATAGAAAGTAAATTATTTTGATTTTTGGTATTGATTTCTTACAAATATTAAATATTTTGTCTTAATTTATTAAACAGATTACCGTGGTCAATGCATTTCAATTTCTGTAATTTATTTATCTTCAAATGGTATTTTGATTACTAAATATACAAAGTTCTAAGTAAATCTCAGTACTGAGTATTTTTATTTAAACAATGCAGTTCTTAACTTGCGGAGAAGTCAAGATGTTCAAGAGAGAATCAATAATGTATTTTTTTAATATCCTGAAAAGAGTGAGCTACCTAAGACACACACAGTCCAGTATCTGCAAACTAAGGGAAAAAATGGTTATCTTAGCAGAAGGTGGTAAACTATTATTACAGGCCCACTGGGATATGAAAAATAAAACCTGCATCACATTATGAGTAAGTCCAATAAAGGTTTATTTTCCCAGGTCACTTCAGCAAAAGCATTATAACAGCAAGCACCATGATAGTGCACTTCTCATTTCTTCCTCTGTTCTTAACAGTAACAAAAGTTCCAGATGTCCAGTGAGACATAACTGAGGGACTTTCCCTCAGTAGCACTAAAGTGAGGCCTGTAGGTACTGGAATTTTTACTGGTTACAACCTCTTAGTGAACAGTGATCGGTGTTCCTTGTGCTTCTGGGAATACACAGTTGTGTCAGGCAGAACAGAATGCAAATATTTAGCAATATCCATTCCTACTACAGTGATTTTTGAGTGATTTGGACTGGGCATTACTTTCTCTCAGGCAGCTCACTGAGATCCACGGCTGCACAGTGAGATACACAGTGAGCAGATTTCTCCCCTTGCTGGTTGCAGTATAATGGCCTTTGTCTTATAAAACTGAAGTTTGAGAACCTGTTTGACTTACCTCATCTCTTGGGACAAGACCAGACATGGTGAGGAATGGATCAGCCCTGGATCCTGAGGCATTGTGAAGGCATTCTTAGTTTCAGCCCTTGCAAATGTCAAACAAGTAATTGCAAATACGTGGATAGATTTACTAGTTCAAGCATCACATTTTACATTTTTAAGCAAGTTGTTCTCTAAATCCTAATTTTTAAACATTTATTAAAGACTCTTCCTCAGTATAACCTGTAGGGTGAGTATTCAAGACCTGAACAGGAAAAATAAAAGAAATTAAAAGCTATTTGAATTTAAATTCAGTTTTAGCAACAAGGTATTCAGTACATTTCAAGCTAATAAAATATTTTATGGAGAATTAACAAATTTGTAATAATTTCATGCATTTACCATTCTTATTGTCCTTATGCTTTTCCCTATTTTTTATTTTTCTAAAAATAACTGAGATTTTAATAACAAAGATTTGATAGACAATACCAATTAAATACAAAGCACAGTGTAACCTGGTTACCAACAACCATCAGGGTTGTTGCTCAAAAAACACCTCCAAAAACACTGCTGTGGGTTTTGGTATCAGTTTGAATCAGTTACATCTCAGTGGTACAATAATAAACACTCAAGTTACTTTGCAGCATGAAGAAGAGCGTGGCAAACTTAATTCCTGATACTGACTTTTTCTTTCTCCCATAAAAAGAGTGGCTTGTAACAATGCTGTTTTCCTCTGAACTATGGAAAACTAAAGATGCTTTGCTTTATAAATGTGTGCTGGTGTGTCAATCAAAAATAGACAACCTTAGGAGAGCAGGGAACTCTTCTAGTTTGTTGTTTTGATGGGGGTTTTAAAGTCTGGTTTGGGTTGGGTTTTTTGCCATGTTTTTGATTTGGGT